ATCCCTATCTATCTACTATATATTCCTATCTCACAGGGTTCTTGTGAGGACACACATATATATATAATATCATTTGATATTACATATATAAATATTTAGTGTCATTTGATCTTCCCAAGAACCTTGTGAGGTAGGTGACTTGCCCAGGGTCACACAGCTAGTAAGTGTCAGAGGTAGGATTTAAACACAAATCTTTTTGACTCCTAGGCCAGCACTCTATCTACTATTCCACCTGGGTTATAAAAGTGAGTTGTGCATATCGCCATCTTTGTACATGCTTTACCCCACTCCTGCGGTGAAAAAATTCATCGAAACGAGGTTCTTTTCCAGAGGATCCTTTCATTTTGAGGCTACCAGATCCTGTCTAGAATTGAACTTCTCTTGATTGAGCCCTGGGATGGATGACTTAATGTGAACTCTGAGCTGTGCTCTCTTTCAGTATTGTACTTGGTCTTCAGTCTTCATAGGAACTTCTGCACCTGAGACATCTTAATGCCTCTGTGACTTCATCAAGCCATTCAGGCTTTTTTTTTTTGCCTTTTGGTGAGGCAATCGGGGTTAAATGACTTGCCCAAGGTCACACAGCTAATAAGTATCAAGTGTCTGAAGCTGTATTTGAACTCAGGTCCTCTTGACTCCAAGACCGGAGCTCTATCCACTGTACCACCTAGCTGTTCCCTCTGTGACTTCTGTCCACGTTCTCTCATAACTATGCTGTGGGGAATCCACCCAGTGTGAATGGGGGCAGCAGAGAGAGTCCTTGAATTCTTCCAACAGCCTGTGGCTACCAGTGGAGCAAACGGGCTCTCCATAGCTTTTCTCTCTCTCTTGCTACACAGTCAGTCCTTTAAAAAAAAAACAACAATCTGTTGATCTATCAATCTATCTATCCTTTGATAACTCTTTGCAGGACTTTTGTAATTCACCATTTATAATGTGCTGCATACTGATCTTACCTGTCATGTCCCTCTATATTGCTTTTTGTGATCCACAATCACAATTCTTGAGGGACTGGAGTGTTCTATAATTTGCAGTCCTATACCACATTACCAGAAGACTGGATAAATAGATGCGCCTTCATTTTGGGTAGGAGCTTGGGAATATTAAAAGAATTGTATAATTTCCCAATAGTAATCCACCACACTCTTCTTTTCAACCCTAGGTCCAATTCATTGTGCATTTTCAGTGCCTGTCCAAGATTTGTATATGCAGAATATAAATATATGTATGTATGTATATGCATATATAGCCATGCATAGAAATTGATGGATGATTGTCATAAGTGGCCTATCCAATTATGTATCATGGTCTGAGTAACATGATTTTTCCTAAATGAATAGTTAAACCCAAATATTTTGGGTCATTATAAATCTCACCTACAAGTCTCTGTAGTCTTCTGAAACTTGAAACAATCCACAAAATGTTATTCCTGTATCAGGGATATGGAAAACCTCACTAGTTTAGGGAATCCCCCTTCCATCTAGCCTCTGTTCTGAATCTCCTCCCTGCCAGGTACTGGGAGTGGATGGAGATGGAGAACATCTTTCCCTACTGTTGTCTTACTTTCTATTATTAATGACCAGAGGATCACTGAGTAATGTTATCTCTGCTATTGCAGCTTTCAAAGAATCTTATATGATTTTGAAATTTGTCTGAAGGAATACCTTAATAATGATAGCTGACATTTACTCAACACTTTAATCTCATCTCAAATTCCCTTGACCACTTGGGTCAGCCTAGTGTGCTTCATTGTGCTCCACAGATGCTGTACCTCCGATCACACTATTCTGCTGCAGTTTTTGCCAGCCTTTGCCCAAAATTAGAGACCTTCTTTGTCTATATCTAAGAGGTTGTTAGGAACCTAATATAAATATCCCCTGAATTCTCAGTGGCACCAAATTGATTATCCAACATCTCCAAATATTTTAGTAGTAAAAAAATTAACAAGCAAGCTTTCAAAGTATTTTACATTTATTTACATCTATTATAACAACCCTATGAGGTAGTTACTACTACTACTATTATTATTATTATTCATTTTACAGATGAGAAAACTGAGGCAGACAGAGATTAAATAAACGGTCATGCAAGTAGTAAGTGGCTAAGATGGTCCTGACTCCCAATTTTCCTGAGTTCTACCCATTATACCACAGTGTCCGAGTACTTAGTCCAATCTTGCTGCCTATAGTACCCCCAAAGTGCTCTGCTTTGATTGGAGTTGTTCAGAATCCATTCAGAAACCATGAAAAGATGGACTTGGTCATTAAATACCAGGCTTTTGGTGTCCATTGTTCTCTGGCACCTGTGACTTCGGTGAGGAACTTTAAGCATATCTAGATATGGATAAGCCTCCTCACTCAGGCCACAGAGATCTTGCCTCTTTATAGGCTGTGCTGGAAGAGACCTCATCCTCAGATTTTCCTCCTCAAATAACTGGAATGTAACTGTTACCTGGTTGTTGTTTAGCAGAGATATTCATTTCAAAGCTTCAGTCATTATCATTCCTGCTATATAAGAGCTTCTTATATATTCAGACATAACATACTCAGGAAAGATTTTTAAGACAGGTGCTAACTTCTCACTTGAGATGGCCCTTGGTCCCACCTCCATTCTAATTTCCCTGCACCTTTTCTGGTTGGCCTCATTTTTAGAAAGAACATGGTTGAATTTTCCTCTTGAGTGCACATAATGCAACACAAGATCATAGCTTCTCTGGGTGTGCTCTTTGGAGCTATTTTCCAAAGCAATATCCTTGACCTCTGGAAATAAGCCCAGTTGATCTTCCAAGAAGAAAGAGGGGGAACAATGATCTGACAAACAGCCAGCCCAGTTTGGGCTTCTTTGGTGAAGCCCAGCTGGTCTGGGCTCTATTTTGTCTTCCTGAGCCTCACCTGAGTGCTGCTTGAGGACCTACAAGGTCAGTTTTTCTTAGCCTGTGACAACCCCCTTTGCTCACATTTCCTGCCTAAACCTACCTCATTGACTGAACCAGTTCCGAGTAAGGGAAGCAGAGTTTTTGTTGTTGAAGTATAGTTATTATAATGCCAATTGATCATCTCGAACTCCCTTGACCACTTGGGTCAGACTAGTGTGCTTCATGTGCTCCACAGATACTGCACCTTTGATCGCACTGTTCTGCAGTAATTTTTGCCAACCTTTGCCCAAGGTTAGAGACCTTCTTTATCTACATCTAAGAGGTTGTTAGGAACCTAATATAACTATCCCCTACATTCTCAGTGGCACCAAATTGATCATCTAGCACCTCCAACTATTTTAGTGGTAAGGAAATAAATAAGCACTTATTAAGCTGAAATTGAGGGCTGTTCAATCTTCAAGGTGTGGAGAAGGTCAAAGATATGTTCCCCAAAGGCATTCTGCCTCATTTCTCTTGCTCAGTCACCTGTCACTCTTGCAACATCTCTGGGATATATGGCAGTGATGATTTGAAGTCTTCTTTTCCAGTGAAGGGGCCATCCCTTGACTCACTTCTTAAACAGGCCTATTCACTGAATGGGCATTACCTCACTCAAAGAGAGAACCTGAAAAGTCCTTAGCTAAAAAGAGTCTCCCATTGCATGTCAAGTCCTCCTGATGAATATCTGGCCACTAGACCAAGATGACTCTGAAGGAGAAAGTGAGGCTGGTGACCTTGCACAGCCCTCCCTCACTCAAATCAAAGTCAATTGAAAGTCATGTTATCCTCTCCCTGATGTCATAGTCTTCTTCAAGAATAAAAGACAAGGGGTGGGGGGGGGCAGCTAGGTGGCACAGTGGGTGGAGCACCAGCCCTAAAGTCAGAAGGACCTGAGTTCAAATTTGGCCTCAGACCAAATACTTGACACATACTAGCTGTGTGACCTCGGGCAAGTCACTTAACCCTGATTGCCTCACTAAAAAAAAAAAAAAAGAATAAAAGACAAGGGGCCGCTAGATGGTGCAGTGAATAGAACACTGGCCCTGAATTCAGGAAGACCTGAGTTCAAATCTGGCTTCAGACACTTGACACTTACTAGCTGTGTGACCCCGGACAAGTCACTTCACTCCATTGCCTCACAGGAAAAAAAGAATGAAGGACAAACCACCCCAACAACAACAACAATTTTGACATGGACAATGTTAATACTGGTAGCCTAGAGGCCCACCAAAAAAATAATAATCAGTAAATTTTGAAAAATCCCCAAAATATAACTTACAGATCAATTGATCCCTAGCTCTGATAGGAAAGATCCATGTAAAATCTGAGGATGTTTTACAAAATCTTTTTGGCTAACACTCCCACCAAAGGAAACTATGGGAACCTTGGTATTTGGTTCATTTTGCTCTTCCAAAAAGGGCCCTCAGCTTTCTTCAAAATACTCAGCCTAATAAAACATCGTAATGTGAAAAACATTGTTTTAACCTACAAAAATTACAAATAAAGTTTGTACCTAATCCATTTAACCCTCAGGAAAGTCTCTTTTCTTTTCTGAAGATCATTAAGCAAAATGTCTTCTTCTGGGTTTCACCAAAGAACTGGAAATTGGGGGAATGCCCATCAATTGGAAAATGGCTGAAAAAGTTGTAGGATATGATTGAATAATACTGTGATATAAGAAATGATGACATTGATGATCTTAGAAAAACATGGAGATCTAAATATTCTTTCTGAATTACAATAGGTCTGGGTTTCTCCTTAGTGCACGCATTTCCCTGATAATGCCAATGTCTCTATCCCTTGACAGAGAAATTGGAAACAGGAAACACCTGGAAACTTTTTTTTTTGATTAATCTGACCTCACTTAACTATCCACTGGTAAGTTCAACAGTAGTTTAATGAAGATTATGCCCAGTAAATACACCAAGCATAATGCAGGGTTAAAGAAGACAGTTCTTAATACAACCAGGACATTTTCCTATTCTTGGTTAGAGAGGACCAGAGATACAGCTAGAAAGACTATGTTGTTATCACCAGGCACATCAGAGCCAGTCTTAAGGTATATCTGCTTCTTTCTCCTCTCCAGCTGTGCCCATCAGCCTTACAGAGAACAAGGCAGCTGTGTGCCATTGCTATTTGACCATGCAGATGTGGTGAATTGTACATCCAGCAGTCCAGGACACATGAAATGTGCTGTCATCTGTGAAAAGGGATTCATCCTCCAGTCTAGCAATGGACAGAGACTAAGGCCCATGCAGGTAAGTCAGGTGGTACTTGGTTGGAGGGACCTACACAGTCAACATAACCACATAGGATTAATTTCTGGGTGCAGGAAGCTTTTCATTTTGAGATTTAAAAAAATTCCTATGAAGGAGCAGATAAGGACCTTCACAAAGAAGGCCTTGGCTTTAGAGATGGCAAAGTTGTACATATACCATCTGTGGCTCCGAGATAAGAGATTTTGCTGTTTGAATAAAATGTGAATTTCTTTCCAGGCCTGTGTTACAGTAGGAATGCCTGGCACATTCCCATTGCTTAAGCTTTTCTTGTTTGAAACCAGGACCATCCTAGTTTGCTTTGGAGATGAGAATACCAAAGTAGTCAGAGATGCCAAAGGTTAGGTTACAAGCAGCTATTCTGCAGCTTAATAACCTTTCTTTCAAAGAGTCTTTAAAAAAAAGAAATCATCCCTACCCCAGTCTTCCTCACTATTCATTAGAAGCCCCTAATCCATTGGTTTAGGGGTGGGGAACCTGCAGCCTCAAGGCCACATGTGGCCCTATATGTTCTCAAGTGTGGCCCTTTGACTGAATCCAAACTTCACGGAGCAAATTCCCCTAATAAAAGGATTTGTTCTGTAAACTTGGATTCAGCCAAAAGGCCACATTCAAGGACCCTAGAAGGTCACATGTGGCCTTGAGACCGCAGGATCCCCACCCCTGGTTGGGCAGAAGTTGCTCATCTCACTCTAGCTCTTTAGTTAGATTTCATGAAGTCCAGTAATCTGTCTACAAACACTCATTCATTCAACAATCATTTGAGTGGCAAATATATTCAATGCACCCATCACATTAGGTCAAAGGAAACCATTTTCTACCCTCACATCAGTGATCACACATACCTAGAAAAATTGTGGCATATCAAGAGCGGAAAACATTTTTCCAGTAAGTGAGGAGGAACCTATTTTCTCCTACTTTGGGATAACTCTCATTGTTTGGATGTTTTTTGTTTACATCAAGCCCAAATTTGCCTTTGTACATCTTCTTGGTATTTAATACTAGTACCCAAACTGTGGGTCCAGCCAGAACAAGTCTAATCTCTTAGAAAACTAATGTTAACAGCAAGTGGTGCTGAGGAGTATGAGGGAGGTCTGTGTTGTCTTTACTTCCCCCACTCAATCATAAAGGATAGAGCCAAGAGAGTTCTGCCTTTGCCTCTTGGAGAACCACTTAGAGACCACACTTTCTCCTTCTAACCACTCTGCCTTCTCTCTTCCTTCCCTTCTCCAGGATCAGGGAAGCTAGGAAGGGTTTGGCCCCTGAGGCTTGCTACTCCAAGTGAACTCCACTCATAGTTTCTGAAATAATGGAAGTTTAAGTTCTTTGAACTAAGCTGAATGGCCTGAAGTTCCCTTTTATAGTTCCACTTTTGGGTGTTGTAATATTACTGTGGAATGGAGATCAAAGGACTCCTGAAGGAGAGAGTCAGATTACTGAAGACGTTAAATGCCAGACAGAAGAGTTTGAATTTTATTTCATTCTAGGGGCAATAAGGAATCACTAAATATTTTTGAATAGGGGTGTAATAGGGATGGTCAGATGTGTGTTTTGAGAGTAATGATTAGTCAGTTCTGTGGAGGATAGGTCGATGAAGGGAGACCCTGGATTCAGGGAGCCCAGTTTGTAAGCTATTGTAGTGGTTCAAATTAGAAGAAAGAGAGTCTGAAGTAAAGTTCAGACTCTGTGACTGGAAAGAGTACAAGAAAGGTGGTATGGATGTAGAATTGGTGAGACAACAGTTGATTGAATATAAGGTGTAAGGAAGAGAGAGGAGTCAGGAGTGAGTCTGAAGTTGTAATCCTGGCTAACTAGAAGGATGGTAGCACCCACAAGAGAAAAAGGGAATACTTGGAGCAAGACCAGATTTGGGAGAAAATGTGATGAGATCCAATTTTGATTTGTTGGACTGGATGGCCTATAGGACTTTCAGGTAGAGATGTCAAGCAGGTAATGTTCCATGCCAAACTTGGAAGCTCAGGACTTTGGTTTAGTAAGTCTAGATAGAAATACATAGCATAGCAAACCATTATTCTGTGATTCTGTCAGTGAAACAAGCAAGAAGGGTAAAACTCTCTTCTACTATCCCCTAGATAGTCCTAACTTCGATAAACGTTGGGCTACATTGGCAGAATTAGATATAGAAAAGTCTTTTCTTATTGCTCGTGAGTTTCTCCTGTATGTAAATGGCATTTTCACAGCATAAGAATGGAGAGGCAGTGCAGCTTAATAATAGCTTACATTTATATAAGCCTTACTTCTGACTTATGCTAGGTGTGTGGTCATAGACCAGTCACTCAGTATTCCAGGCAAACCACCAAGAATATAAAATACAAATGAATCAGTAATCTGCACGGAAAAGGAAGTTTCTATATTGGAATTTCCCTCTGCCAATGAAATCATAGGTCTCAATGCCCCTCACCCTAAAATAGGGAGAATCGAATATAATAAATTTAATGTTGTTATTAAAAGAATACTGATTTAAATATAGGTTATTATAAATTCATTGTATAATTATATTTTCGATATTAATATACTATTATTACTAATTGATAAATTAGTACTATTAATTGTACTATTGCTATTAATTAATTGTACTATTACTATAAAGTAGTACCATTAATTGTACCATTAGTACAATTAATACTAATATATTACTAATATTCTATTAGTGGTATTATTTTAATATTATCACGGATATCCTTATGACATTTAAAGTTAAAATTACCCCTCCTTTGAACTCTAGTAGCTGTTTGATTATATTTAACATACTGTGCCTTGCAGAATAATTACTTGTATGTACATCTAACCTTCCTTACAATATTGTAAGCTCTTTGACAGCAAGGGCAACATCTAATTAATTTTTCAATTCTCTATGCCCTGGGCTTGATGTCTCATACATAGTATGTGATGAATAAATATTTGCCCATTTGAATCCAATAACAAAAAGGCAGATAGTTACACAGAAAGGAGAGAAAGAAAAAAGAATGTGAGACAGAACAAAAGTCATAAAAAAAAGAGTGGGGAATGGAAGAACTTATTTCTTGAGAAATGATGGGAGCTAAGGAAAATGAAACTGAAAATGTTATATGTCTATTAAAACATCTTAAGAAACTCAAGAGAAAAAGTTGCGCAGAGTTGAACAAGATGAATAATGATCTAAGCGACACAGAGAGAACTTGACAGATGTTCTTACAATGGAAATACAATAATTACAGTTTGGAAAAAATTTGCAGGTATAGGAGACAGAGACTGCCCAGAAACAGCAGTGGTGTTTTTCAATGGGGTAGTAGGTTAGAACCTTTTAGAGATGAAAGCCACAGACTGCAAATGATAGTGTGACCTTTATCAGTCACATGGAGTTGGTCCACAAGGTGTTCTCCAGTTGTCTGTTGTCTATTTCCAGAGGCTGGCAAAGTTGAGGTATTTCTAGGAATGATTTGGCAAATGATCAGAAGGCGATAGATATGGTATCTTCTGAAAATACATCTATCTGCACTTGAATTCGATGACTATAGAATCAGACTGGAAACATCATGCATGCAGTGAGAGGGACTATGGAAACTTTTGCTGGTTATACTTATGACCCTAGTCCTATTGTGGTTTAATGCTATGAAAGATAGTGTCAACGATAGTCTCTTGTCCATACCTTTGGCCTTTGGTGAGCCTGATAAATGATCTTTTCTCCAGGGCTCTTCTTGTGAAGGAAAGGGGAATGAAGGTAATAACTGGGATTTTGTGATTAATAATTTTACAGGAAGAAATAGAAATTTTCACTGTCTTCAAAGATGGTGTGGAATGATGAAATAAAAAGAATAGTCATTGATATTAACAATATTAACTTGGATCGACATCTCTAACAAGTGACCCAAAGATCTGTTCTTGGGTTTATAGAGAAGGGGATAGACAGAAGCACTTATATGTGCTAGGCACTGTGCTAAGAACTTTTTACAAATATTATCTCACAAGATCCTCAAAACAACCCAGTAAAGTAAGTACTGCCACTATCTCCATTTTGTAATTGAAGAAACTGAGGCAAACAAAAGTTAAGCGACTTGGCCAGGTTCACATAGCTAGTAAATGTCTGAGGGTGAATTTGAACTCAAGTGTTGCTGACTGTAGGTGTACCCCCTATACACTGTGCCACCATCTGCCTCTATACTCTTTGACCTTTTGATCAATGGACTGATCATGTTACTCCCTGGCTCAAGAAACATTAGCACAGTGCCTGACACATAGTAGGTGCTTAATAAGTGCTTGTTGATTTGACTTGCTTCTAATATAAAGCACCAGCTTCTTTGCTGGGCATTTAAAGCCCCTTACAATCTGGCTTCATTCTATCTTTTCATAATAATTCCATATTACTCCTCCTAACGCAATTTACATGCCAGTCAAACAAACTTTTTTGCTATTCCCCATAAATAATGTTCCATCTCTTGCCAGTGTGCCTTTGAATAGGCTGTCCCTATGCTTGGAATGTTCTTCCACCTTACCTCCACCTCTTGGAATTCCTTACTCTGTTGAAGGACTAGCTCAAGTGAGATCTTCAGAAGGCTTTTTTCTGATTAAAAAGTTGTTAGACTCCACCCCTCTCCCATCATTTTATATATACATACATGTATGTATATATATATACATACATGTATGTATATATATATACACACAAGTATATGTGTGTGTATATATATACACACACAAGTGTATGTATATATGTTTTATATGTATATGTGTTTTATATGTGTATATATATACATGTATGTATATATATGCATACACATACACTTTATTTACTGCTCTATGAACATACTGTATCCCCAAAGAGAGTGCAAGCTCCTTAAGAGCAGGGGCCATTTAATTTTTTGTTTTGTTTGGTTTTTGTATCCTTAGTGCTTAGCACAGTGCTTGACACATATTAGTCACTTAATAAATGCTTGTTGAAGAACAATGACAGAAAAGGAATACAGAAGAATCTTGAGATTGAAAGATCATTGAATAATGCCCATTTAAAAATGCCACAGTGATAAGTAAAGTGTTAGCCATGGTCAACATGGGGGACAAATAGCTAGACCAGTTCATGTGGAAATTTTCATGGATTTCAATCTCCTTATGACTCAGCGGTGTATTATGGCAGCCTAAACAGGCACTGACTGACCTCAGGCTACTTGGAGAGAAGTTTAGGATGCATTACCGGAGATGTGATAGTTACACAGAACACAGTTGGTGTACAGATTCTATGATTCTGAGGTATTTTTTTTAACTACTTGATCTGTAAGACAATAAAGGTGTGACAGTGTTTTTACTTTGCCACCTTTGCATGACTTCTGTGATTGGTCAAATTGCTGGCTATTGTGGATCTACCAAGGAATATCTAGGGCCCATAATAATACGGCTTTATTAATATTTGCAACTTGAGGAAAAGAGTCCAAAACTCCTTGTCTTAGACTCTTTCCAAGCTTGTGGATGGTCCTGATTGTCTTTTTAAATTTTCTTTGTTTAGAAGGAGATTCTGCTCACATGTTCCTCTGGCCACTGGGACCAAGCTATCAGTTGTGTCCCCCTTGATTGTGGTGTTCCTGACCAGTCACATGTGTACTACGCAAGCTTCTCCTGCCTAGAAGGAACTGCCTTTCTGAAACGTTGTTCTTTCTCCTGTATCTCACCAGCTAAACTTCAAGGTATCATCAACTTGGAATTCATATAAGTATATGATCATCCTGGAATTTCAGACACAGAAATTCTCTGTATCTTATTCCCTTGTTGCACCATTCCTCACACCCTGCTGCCATTTTCTATTTTCTTTCTCTTCCCTGCTTCCAAGTCCCCGTTGTACTCTCACTTACTTTTCTCTGATTGATAGTATTTTAGCTCTCCATTAATGAGAAGGTTCCATCCTTCCTTATTTCTTTCAGGCCAGAATCAATTGGGAATCTTAATTCCTTTACATGATTTAGCCAATCATTCCACAATGATTATTATTGGAGAAAGTATGGTGAAAGTTGACCTAATAAACCCTTCTTTCACGCTATTAATCCTTCTCTCTTACTTAAAATTAAAATAGATGCTCTGTCTGTAATAGTAGAAATTTTGTATTATGCAAAAAAGAGTTGCATAAATTAGTGTATTCAGAGCTAAAACTATCAATTTTTGTGTTTGGGGGAAGCATGAGACATACCTTCAAATCACCTTTTTAGGACCCATTCAATTAAGCGGAGGTAAAGGACAGGTGAGCAGAGTTTCAGCAAGGTGAAGAAAAGCTAACCTAGGGTATAGTAACAACAGGGGTAAGGTGGAAGCGTGCCATCTGATAGCTTCCTATTTCAACTAATGGCTTCTGAAGGAAGTCAGATGTTGTCAGAACCCTCTATATTTTAGTACCCTGTAACTATATGCTTGAAACCTCACCCTAGTTATGCCTTTGAGTAGCATCCTGAAATTTAGGCTTGCTTTTGTTTTGTTTTGGATTAGAGTCCTTAAAGAAATTTTATTGGACTTGGTGTTCACTTCTAGGTGTTCACATATCTAGGGCCCATAATAATACACCTGCTCCAAAGAAGTCACTGTGCCTCCCCAGGTTGATCCTTTTCTGATCACTATAGATTTTTACAGCTTTCTATTTGAGCTTCTCTCTTTTATGTTTCCTGGAGTTAGGAATGAACCAGTGGTTGACCTGCCTTGAGGATGGGCTCTGGTCTCTCCCAGAAGCTTACTGCAAATTAGAGTGTGATGTTCCCCCAGTCATACCTAATGCCAACTTGCTGCTGCCTCGCTGCCTCCGGGGAAATCATGATGTAGGGTCCGTCTGCCGATACCAATGTGAACCTGGATACTATGTAGCGGAGAGTTCAGAAAGCAAGCCCAAGAAGTAAGTCATCCTTATCATCAGCAGCTGTTCTTGTCCTCACATTTTATTCTTTTGTCTCCATTCATAAAATTTTAAACCATAGTTTTAGAAGAGAATAATGAGAAGAGGCTTTCAAAGATTATTTGTCCATCCCTTAAATTTGTAACTGTTTTCATCTGTTCAAGATGATTTCATCTACATATATATATGGTGTGTGTGTGTGTATCTCTATATATTCCTACCTACTAGGGAGATCATCTTGAACAGATGAGAACAGTATAAATGTAGATATGGATAAGAATATGGACATAGATATGTATTTATCATATATAACCTAATCATGACAGAAAGATGAATTGCTATTCATCTGTAAATATCCATATATTCATATTCACATATATTCATAAATATTTAATATTCATATTTAAATCAATATTCTTCACTGTATATGCATATATGCATCATGTTGGTACAATTGTAATAGCTCACATTTATATAGTGCTGACAATATCAGAAGACAGTCTAAAATTTAAAAATGGATTTTATTAATGCTTTTTTATTTTTAAATCACCAACGTTTCCCAATGCATTCCTTCCCTCTTCCAGAGAGCCATTCCTTATAACAAATAATAAAAAGAAAAAAATTTATAAATACATGTAAAAATATAATAATATATTTTGTAGTGATCCATATCCATAGTCTGCCACCTCTGCAAAGAATCAGAAGAAGGTTCTTTTTCATATTTCTTCTTTGAGACTAAACTTGGTCTTTAGAATTTCCTAGTTTTGTCGGTTTTTTGATCCCTTACATTGTTGTGTTATACATTGTTTTCCTTGTTCTCACTTCACTTACAATCAATTAATGTCTTCCAGCTCTTCTCTGACTTCATCATAGTCATTTCTTCCAATCACTTCCACGGTCATTTCTTCTTTACTTCATCATTTCTTCTGGCACAGTAATATTCTATTACTTTTACACACCACAGTTGGTTTAGCCATTGCTTAAGTGATGCCCATCTACTTTGTTTCTGGTTGTTTGCTACTACAAAAAGTGATGCTATAAATATTTTGTCATATATGAAGCCTTTCTTTTTATTTTTGTCAATGATCTCCTTGGTATATATGTCTAGCAATGGAATTTATGGGTCAAATGATATGGACATTTTGGTTACTTTTTTTTTTTGTTTACATAATGACAAATTGTTTTCTAGAATGGATGGACCAATTCGTAGCCCCACCCACAATGCACTAGTCTACTTGTCTCTCCACAGTTTCTCAAACATTGAATGCCTCCCTTTTGTCATCTTTGACAATTGGTTGAGTTTTAGGTAAAACCTTGTATATTTCTCATTTTAGTATTAATATACAATGTTCTTTCACAGAGACTAGGGAATACAGATTGGACCTGTTACTGGTATTAGGAACTCCCTAATGAAAACAAAAGAAAACACAAACAAACAAACAGACAAAAAAAACTCCTTCTACCAATGAAGTTTGACACCTCTGTAACTGATATTCTTAGAAAGTTAACTAGAATATTTAGAAGTTACTTATGCTTAAAATACTTAGTAGTGGTTTGTCTAGGGTCATACAGCCATTGTGTATCAGAGGTAGCTTTTGAATCCAGGTCTTCCTGGCTTTGTCACCAGCTCTGTATCACTAATCCCATGCTGCCTTTATTTTTTTTTTAAATGTGGCTGTTAATAGTTTGTGCTTCTTTTGAGAACTGCTTTCCCCCCTACCCTTCCATCATTATATATTGGCAAATGGCTTTTGCTTTTAAACATTTTTGTTAATTGCTTATCTATCTTAGATAATAGATCTTCACAAAAAGATATTTGATACAAAGTTTTTACCCCCAATCAATCATCTTCCTTCTCATCCTAATTGCTTTAATTTCATTCATTCAGAAACTTTTAAATTTCATGTAATCAAAAATATTTCATTTTTTGTGACTGCCTTTATTCTTTATTTGCTAAAGATTTATCTCCTCATCACAGTAGTGAAAGACACATGATCTGGTTCTCTTCTGTTTTGTTTATGGCATGTCTTTAATATTCAGGGCATGTGTTCACTTTGAGAGTATTCTGGCATATGGTGTAAGATGTTGGTGATTTCTGCCAGACTACTTTCCAGCAGTCCCAGAAATTCTTGTTAAATAGGGAGGGTTTTTCCCCTTAGGTAATTTATGTTTTCAGGTTTATTAAACACTTAAGTTTCTGAGTTTATTAAACACTAAGTTATTTCTGCGTCTTTTTCCTCTAGCCTGTTACATTGATATTTTTAACTCTCACCAAATAATTTTGATAACTGATATAATTTGAGGTCTACAAGTGATAGTCCCCTTTTATTCCTTTTTTTCTATTACATTCCTTCATATTCTAGATCTTTTTATTGCTCCAGAGGAATTTTGTGATTATTTTGTCTAGCTCAATGAAAGTTTCCTCTTGGTAGTTTGATATAGCACTGAATCTGTAATTAATTTTGGAGATAGTGTCATTTTGATTATATTGGCACAGCCTAGCCATGAGCACTGAATATTTCTCTAGTTATTTAAATTATTCTTTGTTACCTTAAGGGATAGTTTGCAATTATATTTCTTCATGTATTGAGTTTGCTTTGCTAAATTGACACTCAGATATTTTATATCTTTTGTAGTTATTTTGAATGGTGCTTCCTATTTGATTATTTCCTTCTGGAATTTATAATTACTAGCTATAGAAGCATTCATTTTTATGAGTTTCTTTAATAACTTGATACTTATATGAATTTATTAATTTTTAGCAATTACGTTCTTTGTTGATTTCCTAGGATTTCTTAAGTAAACCATCATGTCATCAACAAACAGGAATAGTTTTTTTCTTCTTTACTTATTTTTGTGGATTTAATTTCTTTCTCTTGTCTCATTGCTATTGCTATAATCTCTAGAACCATGTCAGGTTACATTAGGGAAATGTAAATTTTCCCAAAGTAAAAATGCTTTACTTCTAGGTAAACCATTGGGAATGGTTCTAGTATTTCCCTATTACATATAATGCTATCTTTTTGTTTTAGATGGGTAATTTTATCATATTTTTTGAAAAAAATCCTTCTATACTTATGTCAGAAATTAGTGCTGTACTTTGTCAAAGACTTTTCTGTATCTATTAATAAAATCATGTGATTTGGGTTTTTTTTAATATGAGTATAGTATGTTAAATTATCCCAGTTGTATAGAAGAGGAGACTGAAGCTTTGATAGGTTATGATCTGCCCACATTCAACAACTAATAAGTGGCAAAGTTAGGACTTGATTCCAGATCTTACAACTTCAAGTTTAGGACTCTTTGAATTCTGCCTTTAGTTTCTTTATATTTCAAAGAGCAATAAATCTGGAATCAAAAAGACCTAGATTTGATTCCCTCCACACACATTTACTAGCTGTGTGACCCTGGGCAAGTTACTTAACTTTTCTTAGCCTCAGTTTTCTGATTTGTAAAATGGGAGTAAATATAACATCAACTTCCTAAAGTTGATGTGAGGATCACTTGCTTCAACCTTTGTAATGTGAGGGAGTTGTACTCACTGACCTCTAATGGCCCTTCCACCTCTGAATTTATGCTCCTTTGAGCCTTTGAAATGAGAATATATGTGTAAAGAGCTTTGGGAAACTTAAAGCACTATTAGCTATTTCTTCAAGGCTCAACATAGATATTATCTCCTCTGTCTGGACTCTCCAATCATCCAAAATTTTAGTGTCTTCTCTCAACAAATATTTTTAGAGTTCATTGTCTGATCTCTCCTTTGTCTCCTTTACTCGTTATCTTGTATGCCATTTATTTTTATTCATATTACTAATCCTGTAGCCTCTGCCAAGGAAAGCTCCTTGTGGTCCAGGGCTATTTGGTTTTTGAGGTGTCTCCAGAGTCAAGCATAGTTCCTGTTCATGATAGGAACTTAATAAATATTTGTTGAGTTAAACTGAATTGACCATTCTGCCACTCTCCCACCTTCCAGTTCTGAATGTGAGCGAATCCTCAGCATCATCATTCTATTACCCTTTATTTTAGATCTTCAAGGAAATTAGGAACATTCCTTTTTCATCATGGAAGAAAAAAAAGTATCCTCCTAGCTCCATTTTTGATATTTTTTGCTGCCTTCATGAAGTACCCCTCTCCCTGCTTTCAGCTACATTCCCAGTGTCATAATTACTGGTAGGAAAAAAAAATTCATTTAACTTTGCTTAGCTAAAGAGTACCATATAAGAACATAAATAAGTCCGTAAATATGCCCCAGGGAACCCAATGCAGGTGTGTTCAGTGACTTTGTCTTATTCCTTGAATGAATACATGAATGAATAAAAAAGCACTTAGTAACACTTTGTCCTAAGAGCGATGTTAAGTGCAGAAAATTCAGATATAAAGAAGTAAGATAACCCTTGCCTTCAAAGAACTTACATTCTAATAGGGAGAGGCAATATATATGTAAAAGGAATGAAAGTCAGGGAGATGTTTTGAAAGTCATAGGTAGTAAGTTGAGCCACAGAGCAAATGATTAATGGGCTAAGAATAGTTGTATTGTTTCACATATTATTTCCAGAGGTAGAGGTGGTGAGAGGGGAAAGGAATAAGGGAATAAGCATTTATATAGCATTTACCATGTGCCAGACACTGTGGTAAGTGGTTTTAAAATGTTATCTTGTTAAAGACTCTGAGAGGTAGGTGCTGTTATTTTCCCTTTTTTAAAGTTGAGGAAACCAAGGCAAACAAGTTACATGACTTGCCTAGGGTCACACAACTAGTAAGTGTCTGAGGTTGAATTTAAACTCAGTTTTTCTTGACTCCTAGCCCAGCACTTTATTCACCATGCCACCTACCAACCTAGAAGAGGCTGCAGCAGTGTAAGATCAAGATGGTAGGAGAACAGTGGTAGATCTGAGTCTGGATAGATATAGCAAATTCTCATCAATCAAGAGTCCAGGGTTAGGGTAGATATGGAGAATGTTCATCATTCAAGATCCATGGTTCAGTATAGATATAGAGAC